CGCCGCCCGCCACGAGCTCTCTCTCTTTTGCCTCTTAAAACGACGCGTTACATGGCTTGGCCAGTGTTTTCTCAGTCGCAGTCAATAATAACGGAGTCAGTGTATCATTACCTCATTTGGTGTCTCAATTACTTTCATCTTTATGTTCATTTGGTGTATTTAGAGGCACCAAAACATCCGTTCAGATTTGATTTATATACCCAAATGCTCGAGGAAAGTTGTGTTACATTTCGATGGTATTTAGCATTAAGGGAAAAAATTGTGATAAACATGTGAAATATGATTCGGTCTGATGTGTTACGAAGTTTCATACAAGGGAATGTTACCTATTTCTGTTCTTTTGCCATTCTTTTATCTAGGATACCGTGTAACATACTCTTTAAGTAATTCCAATTGAATGTCTCATAACTGACGAGAAATGATTCTCGGTGCCACGTTTAGTAAACACTCTGGTTCATTTCTAATTAGCTATACTTGCAACTGTAGTTTTAGCCTTCTTTTATAACACCCTGTATATTATTCTACACGGGGCTCCGAAATATCTTCATGGAAACATCGAATATTATCTCTCCGTCACTTGCTCCTCAACGTCTATTTCTAGCCCACCCTTATCTTCCTCGGTTATTCCTCTCTTTCCAAAACACTTTTATCGCGACATCCTCTCTTTTTAACCGCATGTTTCCCAATCTACCGTGTCACAGAAACTTCCACTGGCTGTGGGAGTCGCTGGAAGTGAATCGATCCCCCGAGATCTTCGAGATCGTGCTAGAAACAGGCACACTTCACCGAGACAGTGTCAGGTAACCAATAGTAGAACATGTTCATCCTATTTTAATCTTTCCATATTAGTTTTGCGATTAGGAATGAGAAAAATACAGCAGATAAATTTCCAGTTGATGACCTGATTATCCAATTATGCGATTCAGTGCAATAAGGCCTAGCAAGGAAAAACCAAAAAGTTATATCTCTAGGGATAACTTGTCCCCTAAAGAATTCACTAGAAACTAAAGGCTGTGTATCCAGTCCAACATTTTATTCTCGAGAAGTGCTACACAAAACTCACAATCACAGATTTGACAGCAAGTCCCCAATATTTGAGATTTCTATACCAGGTACTAGAACTAATCTACTCTCAAGTGGACAGTAATATAAGGAACGCCAGCGCCTGCACCACTATGATAGCGACAACCGATAAGACAGTAGCGATTGAACGCCATGGTCAATGTAATTTGCATCTTTCGACCTGGAAGACACCGACGATACCTGAGGATGACGCAAAAACTAATGGTACAACTATTTTACCCTTTTAAAGCATAGTAAAATAATGGGAATCATGAGGGCTTCAATCGATAGTCTCGCCCGAATCTTTGCTAAATCGGACATTACAAAATAATTAGGCTACGTTCCACGATATTGATTCCACAACAGGATTGCTACATGTGCCAACTTTAACCCTTAACTACAGACGATCTCAAATTTTTCTTTCGCTATCACCACCTGGTGAAGAATTTTGTAAGTTCTAACCGTTTGAGCACCTTCAATTGACAGTAAGTGGCACGACATTTCCAAAACGATAACGAGAAATACCATTCATTTGGTTATTAAAAGTGTTACAAAGTTAGTCGTCGGATTATTCATCTTTGAAACGAGTTGTCTATAGTTAAGGGTCATCTTACGCCTCAACAATAGTTAATACACTGACACTTTGATTAATCGACATCGACTCAGACCCACGTAATGTATTTACGAACGTTCAAATATTTCCTTAAATTACCGTCAGTGTAATGACCGTCGGTGAAACGTTTTCCAGGTGAATTAAAAAATGGAGTGGCACGAATCTCGGAAAAAAAAGTTGACGATCCCACGTCGTCCGACGTCTAGCGTGAAAAGAGGCTCGAAGAGTTGTCGGTGCTGGAAATTAAATAACGCTCCCCCGTATCAGTCGTTATCTGTTTGGGCTTGCTTAGGCTATCTCTTGTTTGCCCGTGGGAGCCCGGTTACGCTTTCGTGTTCTCGAATAGCCGAGAATTCGTGGCGCGACACTGGCCATCTATCTCTCCGTTTTCCTTGCGAGTAGGTATTTAAAAAGCCCCCCTCCCCTTGTTTACCAGCCACGCTGAAATGCGGGGACGATGATTCTTTATTTCGAAGCCGGAGTACACGCACACACACACACACATATACATAGAACGTTTGCAAAACGCTCCATCTTCCTGACGCTGTCCCGACTACGCGCGATTTGTTACTCGACACCCTGGCGCGTCATTTCGTCGCAAGGAATTGTACTTCCGTAATGGGGTTTGAAAGCAGTCGTGCTTATACATACATACCCCGAACGGTTTTAGAGAGGATTATGCTGCGTGCACACGTGAAAATAAATTCTCGAATCGGTAGACAGTAAAAATGATGATATTAAGTGGATGGAAAAATGATAAAAAGAAATATTCGAGTGATTTTTTACTGAATTGCAATCTGCGTTAAGATATCGATATGCTGCGTATCCGCATAAGAGTAAGTTTCGAGAGTAAATGCTGAAGTCAATTTGGAACACGACAATAATTTACGTACAATAGAACTACGATTACACGAAACTAAAATAACCAATACTGTTGAATCTATTCGTATCTCTCAATATAAAAGAACCTGAAATACAAATGTGTACGTTCGTTGGTCGAGTCGTATGTTCAACGAAATAAATAATTCTATTCTAAACCATTAAAATCTGCAAGATACGACATCTCAGAGAATCTTCTATAACAATTACGTCAACGTGAATTACGACCGGACTATGTACCGGTGGAAAACAAGCACATATACATATATCAGTCAGAAAAACAGAGGAGGGATTGAACTCCGTTTATTTCAACCGAATTGTCCGATTCTAAGTATTAATAAAAGTAGTCACTACTGTGGTAAAAATAAAATAATGCATAATTTTTCAGCCCTCCGAGAATATATTAATAGAAACAGAAAGCTCGATGCATACGTAACCATGGAAAAGAACAGACCCGCATCACTGTCCCACAAATTCGCACAAAGCAACTGTCCCTCGATAAATCAGGTTTTGCAACTTGCGACGCCCCCAGAGATGCCCACGGTAGAAAAGTTGACATTGTCCCGGAAAACTATTTCCAGAAAAATAGCCGAACAATTTCCCCTGGCGACAATATGACACGCACACTGTATTGACCAAGTCACGCCGCGACAAACTGCCCGTTTCTTTCTCATCGAGACGCTCTAAATTACTCTGAAATCGCATTCTGTCGTCGTTTATTTCCGATTTATCGTAGCCCCCTCGAATCATACTACCAGTGAAACTCAACAGGCCCAGAAAAAATACACACATACACGCTGGTGAAATTTAAATGCCTCGCGCAGCTCGGAATTCTTTTTGGAGTACTCCGAGAATGTCGATCGTACATCGATCGGCCAGCTGAGTCAGCAGAATCGTCAGATAGTGTTCTTTTTATCGAACGACAGACGCTCGTTGGCGTTCCGATTGTTCACCAATTGACGATGAATTCGCGGTGATTAGATTAACAAATAATAACCGCTGAGAATTATTGCTAAAACGTGAGAGGTGAAATTCGTTTCGGTAATTAAATCGAACAAATTAATCGGATTAAAAGTAAAACTGAAATTTTGTTTATCGACGTTATTCTTTCGTTTTGTTTGGTGATACGTGTAGTTCGGTGTGTAATAAACGAACAATTTTCCTGTTAATAGAAAAGGAGTGAAACTAAAAAACCTTTTGAGTTTTAAGAAAACAGTCGGTTACGATGGATCGATTGATGATCGATAAGGGTCTATCGACGGGAGTGGGTATTTAATCGGTGGTGCGATATTCGCTCGAGGACAGATATTTCAACAGTCACGTCGAGGGGCCAACAGAAAAATAGAAGCGTTAGGTCCGTGTAACGCGCTTCGATTCGGTGATTTCGCCAAATAGCCGCGGGAGAAGTGTACCGTAAATTTTTCCTATGAAAGTTTCATGCGATTACCATACAGGATCGAGATACAGGCAGCGATACATTTTAACGGGAAAAGGAAATTCACGGAACAACCGGCTGCGTGACCCAGCTGCTACTTGGAACAAAACAAAGAGCCGATCAATTTTTGCAGGCTTGAAATCGTGAGATCGAAAAATTCTTACGATTTTTTCGATATATAAAATATCTGTCCACGGATAGACAATTATTTCGCAAAAATATCTTTTGTCAAGTAAATAAAAATGGCGGAGGACGATCCCTTACGATACCTGAGACTTATCGCGTGTCAAGGTACAATCAGCAATAATCCCGGTGCGTTTCATTAACGCGCGGTGAAATTTATCAGTGAAAGGTGATAATGTTTACCTACAGGATTTTCCGTCTTTTCTTATCGATAGCACTGGAAAGATCTTGCTTGAGCACATATAATAACTATATGCGGTTCTTTGGTCGCTCGAAGAAGATTTTCCAACAGTTATTACTTCCTACAATACGGAATACGGTTATATAAATTGTAAATATTTATCACTTATTATATCATTTTGCCTATTTACTATGTCCAACCCAATGAGATACTTTCGAAAGAAATTTCTACTTTTGCTCTTGTCTGCACGATTAACTTTATAAAATATCATTTCGCATAAAAATCCGCAATCTATTCATTACAGTCCCAATGTTTCCCCCAACCATTCGTACCTCGTAGGCCTAAATCAAATTAATTTCACTTACGATTTCACGAAAAAACAAAAAAAAAAAAAAATACTAGTTTCTCGCAAAATATCTGTCATATATTTATCAAACCAGGAAGAACCAAAACAAAAGTCTCAGAACCGGACCTGCAGTAGACAGGCTCTCCTCTACATCATCACGTGTGTGACAGAGTCCATCGACCACCATCCGTACGGTACTACAGTCGGTATCAAAGGGTACCGATTAATCAGCCCCCCTTCGCCCCACGATCGAAAACATGCATGAAATAAGAGCAAAAGCTGATGGACCGAGAGCACTTACCCATAAGTCATCCAGGGTGATGGAGTTGTCCGTGTGGAAAACGAGCACCTCCGCGGCGAGCGGGGACGGTTCTCGCAGTTTCGAGGCGAGAAGCAGGCAGGCGGTTCCTAGCAGCTGCAGCTGCGACTTCCTGATCGGGCAGATCGAGAGGAACCTGTCGACGTAGTTCATCGAGAGGGGAAAGACCTCCTCCTGGCACTTCTGCTCCTCGCATACCTGCCACCGATCATCGAAGACCAGATTAGAAAACGTGTCCTTGCCTCGCCGGGAGGCGATCAGTCAGTCAGTCGGAGGGCCCCATTAGAACAAAGAATTCAAGGGGGTTGCGCTTCGAACAAATTGTCCCTTTTCGTGCCTATTGCCGACTTCACAGGGGAAGGTTTTTTTTCTAGTTGAAACTTTGGATTCGGGGAGGTGTATACTTGATACCTGTACGTCGGTTTTCGTCGATTGGGGCGCGGGTATTGTTACCAAGTCGCCAGGTATGAGCTTTGGGGTTCTAGCGTGAACATGCAGGTTTTAATGGAGCATTATATCAAAAAACTGCATTTTTATTACTGTCAGTATGAATGTTACAAATACTGTATAAAATTATTTTACGGATCTGTTGGCTAATATATTAAGGAACTTCGAGTCGTAACTCAACTTATTTGAAAAACGATCAAGCAACAGCCAAAAGGGGAAAATTTCTCAAGTAACTAATTCAAACGTTAAATTAAAGTTATGATTTATCGAAAAATGCAAGAGGTTATTTCTATCAGGTATACCAAATATTATTTATGAAGTCACTGTTTCTTCCTATGGCAATCAAGAATCTATACTAATAACGGTGGATTACGTATCAATGTACCTGATAAATAGAAACTTTAATATTATCAACTGCACAGAGTCCGTGACAAATTAGCTGTATGAATGTTAAAATTCGCGTCTCGCAACAAGTGCAGGGCACAGGAAAGAAAAAGAAGCGGGTACACACGTCGGAACGGATTTCCTCTGTACGTAATTTAACGTTGTTGCTTTAGCCAATCGATCACCCTGGGGCACAGGTCGGGGACCTCGGTTTTTGTTTTCGAAGCGTTCTCGAGGAGAAGATACAATCGATACTGTCGATGCTGAGGGTGAGTATATAACGAGAGTTCTCGACGTGGAAAGAAATTCCAATCCGATCGCACCGAGTGACTCTCGTCTGAACTGACACTGTCCGCGGACATGCAGACTTTGAAATATAGAAAATTAACATCGAACTTTAACAATAAATTGGGTTACTTTAATTTGTCCCGCAGCTACAAGGAACTAATGAAATGTAAAGGAATAATATTCAAAATCTCACAGAAACATACATAAATTTCCACTTGACACACCACCAGCGGTATCATAACAAATATTTACCCCGACGTATTTCAACCCCTACCGACCGACCAATTAACTCCATATAAAGCCACACAATCTCGATCTCAACGACATCCGGGTTTCCGTCCAGATATACTAAACGCCCAAGGTTCTCCCCGAGGTAAACGCCCAAAGTGCAAACGGCCTGCTTGCTCCAAATCCAATTTCCGGAATAGGGGAGTTGACCGAAATTTTCCACTGTGGCTTGTTCATAGAAATCCCCACCGGTTGCTTTTAACCGGTATATGTGCAGCCGTACGAAACGCGGCCGGTCGCCGCCGTTGGTATTTACGGTGGGGACTTATTGAGCGTGACCAGCGTTCCACCCCTTTCCCAACACCCCTCGTAATTGCTTCATGACGCGTACACCACGACCAATTAGTACCAAACGACTTAACGAAATAATAGTCCCCGCCACCCTATCATCGATTAAACGCCGGATTCTTCGAGGGTGCGCGTCTACCTTCGCGCTTTCGAGCTAATGAGCAAGTAGAAGTCGACGAGGGGTAAGAATTATGGCTTCCAGAACGAACCAGACACGCGAAAACTGTCTTCCATGCGCGATTCTTCTGATGATTTAACGACGAAAACCGTGCAGATCTGAGCGTGGATAGTTAAAAATAAATACTAGCGCATATACTTCCGGTAAACAATTTGGAAACAGTATGTAATGTAAGAAAATTAGAGACTTCAACGGCAAATAAACAAATTTGACATATTTAAAAAGTTAAAAGCTTCAGTAACCGTCGTTAAAAGTATTAGCTATATTGGATTCGGGAAAAATCGCCCACGAGTTATGATTCTAGGAAAATTTAACAAGTAATTACGGAAAATTTATCACCGATTAGGTTTTTGGGGTTGAAATTGTTTCGATGGGCCTGTTCTAAAAATTATCCGAGGCAAGTGATCGTATTACTTTGAAGGACAATGCTTTCTGTGGAAATTCAAGGTGGGCCCTTTCTAAGAACTCGTCGTCCCTGACCGTACCGTCTAAGGGTAGCGATTTATGGCTGTGTTTTTCCGCAGTTTAGGGCGGTACATGTCACACAGATGTGTCCTAACAGTTATTAAATCTACAGTTATCTTAATCCTAACTTTCGGAAAAGCAGCTGAACATTAATTATAACTGACAATAAATAATTCTATTGTGCAGGTATCGAATATCACTGAGTTGCTTCGCCATAAACAGATTAAGAACATACCTGAAATGGTGCTTTTATGGCAACACATAACCATTCAAATAAAATATAAACTTTACTGAATAATGTACTGGCTCTTACCGAAAATTTTAGTATTACCATCCCTCCGATTAATTCTAGTACTACCATATCGTTAAGAGAAATAACAGAAATCATATTAACATTGTAATGCATTACTAAAACAAATCCTACCAAAAAGTACGAAGCAAATACTCGTTCAATTATCAACAACTCAGTATGTACATCTATCACCGCAGGACAATGAATCCATTCTAACGGTACAACCACTTCTGAACCAACGAAACCACCCCCGTCCGATCGCGTCATAAATTACACCCCACGTAATTCATCTGACAGATAATTTTTATCTCCCATAGAACAGAAGTTATTGATACTGTACACAAGAAGGGAACAACGACGCCGCCGTGTTCCTCTATCGAGCTCTAAACAGCAGCTTCTAAAAACTGTTTACCGATCGTGAAACATTCGGCCGGTTCAGGAGGGCCAGATAGCGGTTTCTACATTGTTATCTGCCTCGATAAACTTTAATCTGTCCTTCGACGGCGCTCGGATCCAACCGACGAAACCGAAAGAACGGGAACCAGGATCGTGTTTTCGCGCACGGGGATCAGCCAATAATAGTTCCACCACGGAGTTGGACAAGTCTATTTCCTCTTCCGATCGGCCCAGAAATTAATTTTCCTCGCGCGCTCGTACATCGAGATTCACGATACTCTGCTCCCATTTCACGACACGGAACCGAAAAAATTGTTTCGTCGCCGTTGCGACACACCTCGAATGTTACAGCTAAAGAAAAAATCGAAATTTCAAAATTCTACAGAGCAATTGCAAACGACCCGAAATTCTCGAGTTACCTTTATTTACCTAATTGTTTCCTTAAATAGTACGAATTTTCTATTTTGTTCTGAACCCAATAGAATACTCAAGAGAAGAAAGACTATGAATCGCTATATAAAATATCTCTGAATATAAAGGAAAAAATGTTGCTTCTAAGGTGATGTTTTTCTTCCATGAACATTTAGTACAAACAAGTAAATGTTACAATATCTGTTGGGGAATATCAACAATGTAGTCACGAATTCGTAAAAAATGGTTATGACCTTTCACCAAAAAGTTTGGAGTAGCAATTAGCAGATACAATGTTACAAAAGCTCGAGGGACATTGCGATTCTTCGGCCAAGAGGAAGAAAAAACATTCCAAGCTAGTTTCATAATTTCACAGAATAATCGTTAAAAATTCACGGAACACCATTTAACAACAACTGTTCTAAACCAAAGTGTTCCTATTTGTCTGAACTGGAACAATTCTAATGCAGAAGAATTCAAAAGCAATCGACTTCGACACACGCGTGTATACATATACACGCGACCAAGCCCGGTCAAGGTCGGCTTTACAAAGCCCTCCACCTCCCTCTGATCTTTACAATTAATCGCGCAAAAAGTCAATCGACAGACGAATATGTCGGACCTTGAACCATCTAATCGCGTTGGTCCGCCCTAGAACGATGGAAGGGGGACCTGTTCGACAAACTTCGAGGGAACGTTCAATTCTCTGCACTCGAATTCGCTTCATGGTCGACCGATGGGGCTCAAGGATTTAATTCTTCGTGGGCACTTGGTATACCGTGAAACGATGCCAAGAGTGAGACTGGGAACTATTATTTGAAGGTACGGATCAATGAATGATCATCAGTTGGACATTTCGTATCTTCGAATATGACGCGAAGATGGACTTTTGCTTACATTGGGATTTAATAAAACTGATTGCCCCACACGCTATGGAAATACTAATTTTCATAGGGTATTTAATATGTATCTTTTATCACGTTCTGGTAATCGGTACCCCATCGTGGGTGGTATTGGAAACGATAAGAATTGAAATCTCTCGAGCTCCGATAGGTTTAGATTAAAAGTTTCCGATACGATCTGATTGTTGTTCGTGCAACGAGAACATACACAAGTGTGTTACCTTGTTTATTACTGAATACAAAATATTATTAAATTGTAAATAATTAAAGGTATGTGTATATGGTGAATAATGTCTAGTAACTAATATGGGAGGGAATGAATTATGTATTAGAGGCCAGAATGTATTTCCCGTGGCACGAATAGTACATAAGGTATTAGGACTTATCTCGTTAGATTAGAACAGATCCTTCTTGTTTTCTAATTCTTATCAATATTTATAAAACGACCTATACAACCCCGCGTTTAAGCATCCCGCCGTAATTCGATGACGAAACGTAACATCTGGGCGGTTAATTGCCGATGGAATGCGACGATTTCGAATTTAACGCGAATTACATCATTAGAAAGCGTAGAACCCGGGGCACCCGAGCTGCTAGCCTGCGACCGATCAATACACAATATGGACAGAAAATAACATTATCTTCACCATTGCAAAAATAAATAAATTTACCAAACAAAATCTTAATTTATAAAGGATTTAAGCACGGTCAATGAACTGAAAGGTGAAAATATTTGTCCGTAGACCTACACATTCTTAGAAATTAACACATACATCCAAGCCATTTGCCCAGCTTGGTAAATAATGGTCGACACACGTTACTTTTTTTATCGGAGCTCCGTAGTCGCGAGAGTTAGAAACAAATAAGGTTGTCAGAATGCTGTGCAAAAAATGGAACCACCGTTACGTGTATTGGCCAACGGCGAAGAAAAAAGGTAACAGAAAAGAAACACTTTGTCGCCGAAAGACGCGTGTCTCGGGTCGTGGCGAGATTCGAAGCAGGCATTTAAACGTTCTTCGAGGGACTACATAGGTACACCGTATATACATACTGTCGTGGTCACATCGAAAGGAAAACTGAACGACGGAATCGCGGAACTCGATCCGAACGTCCCTACACGCCACACAAAACTGCACGACAAACTAGCTATTAACACATTGAGTGTTAAACGCCATGATAGATGTGTGAATCGACGTTTGATTCTTCAAGCACAGATATTCTGATGTACAGTAAGACCTCGATTATGCAAACTGGTAAAAACAAAATACTATTTAATGTGAGAAGCCATAAAATTATTTTTAAAAAGTAAATGTATGCAAATACTTGTTTTACATTATGTACATGTTATTAATAATTAGGAATGTAGTTCCGAAAAGGTCGAACCCTCTGAGTTTCGTTGGTCTAATTGAAATTTAATTCCTATATATATTCATTTATATATAGCCCATTTTTAATAAGCACTTATTAGTGTATTGTACAATAAATGTTCATTAAAAGTAGAGTTTTATTTGCAAAACAACTGACAAATGCCAAAATTCGTTTAATGTCTAAGGCAATCGAACTACCTTTCTGGCCAACTGTACATTGACAGTGAAAAAATCGACAATTAGTTGCACACCAACCGACTGGTCACGGACAGTACTAAACAATATTTGCAACGATAAAATATAAACAGTCTAAATATTACGTAACCGACCGAGGATTAAGTCACGAAGTTCGTGCGGCAATGAACCAGCGAAACAAAGATCGATTTCGTTTATAAGGTACGCCTCTCTGGCCCGGTATGAATTCCTAATGTAAACCGAAATATTAATTATGAAAGCCTGGGTGTCGCCGCGACGCGTTCGGCGAAAACGCGTGACGTAAGCACCGGGCGTGCGGAATTATCGTAACTGCCACGATTCGGCTCGTCAATGACGGCGAAACGGTCGGAAGCGGCACGCGCTGCCGGCGAATACGCGGCACCTACGTGACGGGAGGTGTTTTTTAAATTTTAAAGGGACCGCCAGACGCGGCGTCACAACGTCACAGGAACGTCTCGAGTCGCGGCTACTGCCACGGGACGAAAATAATCGTAACGTTTCGCCCTGCGGCGGTTGGCTCCGTGCGCGACACCAGACTCAAAGCCGCCGCCACCGCTGTCGAACCAAAAGAACGGAGACGGTTAGGACCGTTCAAACCTGTTCGGTATCGGGCACTTCGAGACTACAATGTCGCCCGTGGAACGATCATCGGACGAAATTATACGGTTACGCGACGCTTTCCGTGGGCGATTCAAGCAAAAATTTATTGTTATATACCCTATTGTGACACTTGCCAACACAGAGAGCCTTCACCCTGGGGACTTGGGTTCCTCGACCACGAACGGTTAGATCGCGAAAACGATATCGCAACGTTATAGCCGTGAAACGTTCCTCCTCCGATGCAGATAATTGCGCGTGGGCGGTCGCCGAGGATTCCTTGTATGCGATTACGTAACCTCTCCTGTTTACCAGTAATTAAAAAACGAATGAACCCTGTTATAGACACGATGCACGGGGTGTTGGGAAACCGAGAGATTCGAGGATTCCACGATCTGCTGGTTTATTAATGATCAGAATCATTGTATCAGTATGGTGTTCGAGACCCAAATTGAAGGTAGATGCAATGGGAGTGATTTGTTGGGACAGTTTTTTCTTTCATTTATGATGGATGCAATTTAGTAAAATATACTGAAAAATGTCAACCTGAATTGCTAATAAAACCATTGCATTTCTATGCACCGTCTGATTTCACAATTCAAGAATTTGCATAAGTACCCACAGTCAAATATGTATCAAAATCGCGATTGTCAACATCGAACTTCAACAGCCTGTACCAAGAGAGTGCGAATGATGGACGAGTAACGATCGGTGCAACCATTTCTAGAAAGCATCGCGAAAAAGCCTCGACAGGAAACCGAATACTGCTTCGGGATCCACCCCGTGGGAATACCGGTGATTTTTCGCCGGATATTTCGCGAATAATCCGAGGAACGTTGGTGCGATCGCGTGGGGCTTAGACCGGGGTCGGGAGGTGTCGAAATTTCGGAAAGATTCAAGGACGACACGTGGACCGGAAACGGTTGCTCACCTCTAACATCCACTCCGCGACGATTTTGCGCATGAGCGGCGAGATGTCCCTCTGCACACACTCAAAGTAAGAACTGCTCGGCGCGTATCTCTCCTCGGTTTTCAGCAGGTTCTGCAGCACACGGTCGTCACCAAATAAAGCGGGATCAGCGTAGGCTCTGCATTCTGTCTCTGTGGTCTCGCAGCAAAGCAGATCCATGTTCCCCCTTGTGGCGTTTCTAACCTCTCGAGCGCACACGCAGACGGACGGCGGCTGTGGCAGCAGCCTCTCTCCCTCTCCCTTCCTCGCACGCGCACAGACAGACACACACACCTCCCTCCTGTTCAGCGACTCGTCGCCGACTCGCGATCGAAGGTTCCGTGCGGTGTGTCAAGATGAAGAAGCTCGACGACGATGCTGTCGGATCGGCCGTTCTTCTTTCCTTCGTTTTTTCTCGTTCCGTCTCCTCTCTTCACCAACGTCGCCGTCGTCGTCGTCGTCGACGTCGTCGTCGCGAACTCACTTTATTCACGTGCCACGTTGCCAAACCGTTTTTTGCCGGCGCGGCCAGACAGGGCATGCACGAATCGATCGTAAAGATACGGGAGCAGAGAGAAAAAAAAAACAAAAAAAAAAAAAGAGTTCACACAAATTCGGCACCGGACAGACGACGGTTTTACTTGTCGTGCGAAGGGGGGTACACTAAACCACACTTAACACCAAAATACTATACCGTACAGAGGGGCACCGGGGGGACACACGTGTGCACTGTACGAGTATGTATACAAAGAGGAGACGACACGTACAGGACCTTGGTTTCGGGCAATGACTCCCGTGTATCACTCACCTAGAGGCCGTCTACGCGAAAAACAAATATACAACCACGAGTCTCGACTATGCCCCGAATTTCGAGGGAGTGGGGGCGAAAAAACTCAACGACGCTTATAACGATGTGGTTCTTTCTATTTTCATGCACAACAACACACTTTTCCCAGTTTCCGTATCTCTCTCCCTCTTTCTCTCTCTCTCGTGTTTCTGGCTATGACGCTTGTTCGGTTGTTGTTCCTTTTTTCCCAGTCCTTACTTCTCAGTCTTGTATCCTTCGTCGAAGCTGCCTTCTCACGGGGGGGGGGGGGATTTAAGGACGTGTCCTTCGGGTATTACACTATATGAAATAAATAAGAGAGACGTACGGTGGAAATGTTAATAAATAAGCGTAATTCTGCCTGTTGCACGGATTAGTATTGTTCGTTGTTCACGAGTTTCAGGCAGTTTCGCGGTTTGCGAGCCGGTTTGAGAATCCGTTGCGGTAGGTTCACCGGATAAGCGAAAGAAACCGTTTCTCCCTTCACCGAGCTAGCTGTGCTTGCGGGCGATTTAAATGTCCAAGCGAGAGGCGAAGCGATCCTACCCTTACTCCGCGTCTCACGATCCGACACTGGCGACTTACCAGGTCAGAATACGGCTGCTCCTCTTGCACTTCCACATCGGCCCTACCAAAGGGGAGTAGGTGCGTCCCCACCACTCGGCGCCAGCCGGTCACGTGACGTCGGATCGATCCCTACCACAGGGGCGCCAGCGTGTCACGTGAAACGCGACTGGGCCCCCACCATTCCTACCCGTGACTGGGGCGCCAGCGCTAGATTCGCATCGTGTAACGAGAACCTGGGACCCCCGTCCACCGAAACGCAGGATCGTCACCTTTTCCAGTCCACGTTGGTCCAGAATTGGGGAAAAAATGGGAAAAAATTCTGTGTCAATTGTTATCGTAATAAATTAACGAGAACCTGGCCGTTACACTTCCCAATCTACACTGGTCGAGAATGCCGAAAATGCGAGTAACAACGCTGTATAAATTACTAACCAAATAGATCAACAAGTGACTATTTTGTGTACTTTTCCCTGTTTCTTATAGATGCTGTTTTATTAATAGTTTATTGCTTCTTTTATATCCCTTACACAGATCTACCACACCAACTCAGAGTTTCATGGTTCAGATTGCCATTGTCCTTGCCGAGATAAGAAAAATTAGCTGATAGGCAAGATAATTGTCATCGATTCGTCCCAGAAAGGGCTGTTAAGTTTCAGGCCAAATTCGTGTGTGCCACGTTTTGCAGTATAAATTAAATTATTTTGGTAGATAGTTTCGAGATTTGTTATTTTAGGTTGTTCTATTGGGGAAGCAACTGGATTCGAAGTAATAAACGACTTAAGAAGAATGTCTACATTCGGGGTTATTCTTAATGTTTCTCTGTCTCTTGGTGTTCTCTAAAACATTCGAACATCGTCGCTCCTGGCTTTTTGTTCCGTTGATAATTTCTTCTTGAATATGTATGCATCGGCTTCGAAGGACCTGTTTTCATCGGAGTAGTGGCCACGTTGATCGTCTAACAACGGAGGAGTAGGGTGCCATTTACACGCGACCCGATGTTGGCTCGAGAGAGTTCGGAGAAACACGGACCTATTCGTTTTCGTTCGTCCATGATCGACATCAAACTGCTACGCGTTGCTTTTTACCACCAAATGTCCCGGTCTTCAATACTAATTCATTGTACACGTTTCACTCTCGAGACTGCATAAACTGACTTTGTTTCAATCGTTTCGAGATATTCGAGAAGAACCTAGAAAAATGGCGTCGATGGGGATCGGGGAAGTCCAAAGAACGAAAGTCAGTTCCGAGAGGTGTCTCTGCCATGCACGTGACAAGAAACGAGAAATTCTATTTCTTTGTTTCGTGAGGCAGGTCAACATACCGAATTGTACATTCCACTGATCGCAGACGAGAAATAAAAAATTAATGATTGACAACTGTGATGGCGGTTAATCTATAACAATCACATAATATCATGAGCTTTGGAACAAATTTCAAATCTTCCTTTTTAAATGCAATATGTAATATTGTACCATTCATGGATACGTTGAATTCATATTTACTATGAAATGTTATACAATTCTTCTAATTTACTCCATTTTCTCCGCTCACTGTCTACTACCCCTGGCAGAAAATATTGAAATAGTGATTATTATCTAAACAGTCACCCTATCAGTTCGAATATGGGAGGCTCTACTGTATATCAGATATCTAAATTTCAAATCTCGTTTCCGTCGAAAAACTTTACACTATTAACTTATTTTTTCATAAGTAATCATATACACTCTGCTATAGGCTAGGTTAGGAGATTCTACTGTAACATCATTACGAAATGTACGATGACCGCATGCACATTTCAGGTTCAAGAACGATCTCACCTGAACGATCGAACCTGCAATACACCTCCTTCGTTCGACTGAGAAATTCTTGAAGCGTGTATAGGGAAAGTAAGGGCTACTTCCGCCGGATAATTTCAACGGCCCCGGTAGAAAGAAACCGCCCGTGTAGGAGTGGGAATGTCCTTCGTGCACGGAAACCCGCCTGGTTTCGTCTCGTTTGCGTTCGGTACGCGCTTACTACGGCGTTGTACATGCATATGTATATGTATGTATATGTACTGCGCGTGCAACTTACGCGACCGGATGTCGCAGCGCGTACCAGACGTCGTCCTAACTACTGAACAATAAGTGTTACGCTGGAATACTACGGCCGAGTAAATCGGGAACGGGTCTTGGGAGGGGTGATTCCGGATGGCAAGTATTCTGTGAAAAGCAAATAATCAGACGGTTCGCTACGACGCGTATAATAGTCACAGCGCGTAATGATAGTGACAAGTTTCACAGAAAGGGATGTGCAAGTAGTATAATGACGTTTCGAATAGACTCTGCTCTGAAGATGCTAAAACGTTGATCAATTTAGGGAATATAATATTTTGCTGTTTAGAGACTAGTTAGGTAAAAAAAGTATCGATCACCCTTTAATTGAGAATGATTTGAATTTGGGTTGGCCATATTAGTTCCATTTACCCTACCGTTAACCTGTTTAAACGGCAGATTTTTCGATGGAAAGTGTTCAGAGACTGTTTTAGAGAATTATTGGATCAAGTTCTCAATAACAGTAAAGAAATGATAGCTTTGTGATTTGTTTTCTCGATGTTCAAGTTACACAGTTTTTCGTGGAAGTATATTGAATGAAAAATATTGTCTAATACGTCTATGTAATTATGAAGTAACGTTCGAGATAACAATAATAACCAGGATAGTTATAATAATAGCAGAAGTAGCAGTGATGATATTGGAAGCATTAATGAGTGTCCATAGTCAATGCAACGGTATTGTAGTCACGACCAAGGCTATGGATCGAAATGACAGCGCAAAGTAGTAAGCGATGAAGTCACGATCGTATTATTTAATACTTCTCGATTGATTCATCTGCCTCACTACAAAGTCACCATGTGCTTTGTTAACTACCCAGTCGAGAACTGGCAGCAGAAAAGTAAACAACAATTAAACCAATCACTATTCGTTGTAATTATATTAAATACCGTGTCACGTTAGTTGACTAGAAACGTTAACAATTCTTTCTTCATTTTCAGTGCAGATCGTATCAATAGAATTTAAAATTCAAATTGTATACGTGGCTGCATTCCATTAACTTTTCGCTGCACTGATCGTTATTAGTTTACATTAATTAGGCTTTACTGTTATGTTTAGCGCTCGCGTAGTATTCCACGTTTGTGAAACTTGAGGAACGTCCAATTGTTTAAGTAAACCGTTTCCTTTTAGCAATGAATACAACGTAATTCATTGCAATTGACCATACAAGTCACTTTGACATTTTTAGGGTGCCCAAATACCACATATAACTGGCCTCATAATTGTTTCTAGCAATAAAAATCAATATAATAGATATCGTGTTATTCTTGTATTGCATAAATATGTTTACCATGGGTAGTTGACTCCCAATTCTCTTAATCGTCGCAAAGCGCTCGTCTTTGAAAATACCAATGGAAACTACTGTTAATGCTTCACTTAATTTTTATAAACTGGAATGGTGTGTGAAGTTTCTGAAGTCCTGGGAAAAAAATGGACCCAAAACACCGCCGTCTGATGGTTAAACGATGAACTCGAGAACCAGAGTTTACAAGCTAAACATTCACGAAATTCTACGAATCTGGCCTAAACATCATCCGGGGGAGTCTCTTCGGTCTGCGACAAAGTGGCCAACGTACCCGATCGCACCACGTGGTCGCTACGTCCCCCGAAGATTTATACGCGACTGGAAACCCAGGCGAATATCCTCGCCTCCGGCCGGTTTAAATGGCTTCGACTGGGGTCCCTATATACATATACGCACTCTCACCACGCGCTAGTATTTAATTTCACTAGAGCATGAATGTTCCGGTCGGTGCTTACCCATCTTTTACGATACGCCTTGCAACTTCTTCCCCTTCGAGCACCGCGGCGAAGCCTCGCTCGCTTCGACCTGCATTGGAGGAGCTTACGCTCGAGAAATTCAATTTTGTCCATGGCGTTCGATCCCTTTGTTTTTCGATGTCTCCCCTTTCGAGATGAAACTTTCGGGATTTCTTCGTTGGAAACCTATTTCACTCCGGTTTCCTGGGTCGTGTGATTTTTCAATAAGGGTTCGATTTTGGAGTAAGGCACAAGGGTTAAAAACAATAATGAAAATATTGTTGATAACTTTGATTTTTTTGACAAAGAGAAGCTA